ATATATATATATATGTCAGTACTGTAGTTATTATGACCATCTGATATTGTAGTCTAATGTATCTTCCCATTGTACCTAGGCACATAGCTTACCCCAGGTGGCTGAGAGCGGATGGAGGCATGTTATGCAGATGGTGTTGTTGCCAGCCAGTAACTGAGCCAAGGTGAAGGGCGCTGCTATTAAACCCAGAGAGAGATGACAGGTCTGCACTGCTTAGAGAGTATTCTACAATAGAAATGCATACAAAAACAATAAAAATTAATTTTTCAGTAGCATGGGTAAATATTCTCAAGCATGTAAAGTCAACGTAATCAAAGGGATTTAGGATACATGAAGACTGAGCTCTGTTATCTGATTCAACATATAGCAGCAAAAAAGGCTCTCTTTACTGTTTTCCCTATTTCCATTCAAGTTCTATACACAGATTCAATTCACAAAGCTTTAACACAAGGCTAATGAGCTGTATTTTTAGCAATGTCACTAATGTTTCAAACCTTATTGGTCTAAGTTGAAAATAACTATAATAAAAAAAAATAGAATCCATATCCTGTTGTTTTAGCTTTGTGAATTGAACCTAATGCACCCTTAATGAAGCCCAACTCTTGACAAATGGGAGGACAGTAATAAAAAGCTGACAGAGGGTATATCACACTCCAGTGAAAACCTTTTTTTTTTAGTCTTAAATAGACTTGGAAAAAATTAAATACTTCTGTCAAGTTTTTATTGATGACCCAAGCGGGGAGATTTTACCTTGGGAAAAGAATGAAAAGGAATGAATACCAATGGGGCAGCAAGTCACGGACAATGATAATAAACTGTCAGAATATTTAACCCTTCCCCATTTTAATGAAAAAATATATTTGTCCCCAATGGAGAGATTCTGAATGACCTCTTGTTATGACAGGAAGTAAGGGGACATTTCATTAGTGTGGACACCAATATGGGGCTTTTCCTACTCTGTCCAATACTAAAAAAAAGAAAAAATATTTGCTTGGAGTTGGGGTTTACTTTTTTTTGTCTGGAGTTAAGCTTTAAAAATACTGGCAGCCAATATGCACTTTTATTTTTAGACAAAATCAACCCACTAATGGAATTAAACTGTTGCACAATTCAAGCAATTTTATCATATGTGACAAGCTGACAGATGAAGGACATGGCAGAAATTCCCTGCTGATTCCTCTTTATTTACTTTTAATAGAAAAAAAGGCAATTATACTTCATATGAGAAAATAATTTTCAGTGGGTTTGAACACGGCTGCATGAATTTGCTTCTCTAATGAAAAGCCCATTTATTGTTTTGTGCACATGATTATTTTTGTTATTATACAATGCAATAAAATGTAACTAATAACTCTACATGGAATTTGCATGTTCTCCCTGTGCTTGTGAAGGTTTCCTCCGGGTACTCCGGTTTCCTCCCACATTCCAAAGACATTCGGTTAGGAAATTAGCCCTAGTATGTGTGTATAAATATGAGATAGGAACTATAGATGGTAGGCTTTTTTAGGGCAGGGACTGATATTGATGTGCAATGTAAAGCACTGCGTAAATTATTGGCACTATATAAATACCTATAATAAAGAAATAATAAGGAATCATAATCTATTAATGTTACAATCCCCCTTTCACTGTGATATATTTTAGATCTACAAGACAGAGGAGGTAGTGTACAATTTGTTTCATGACTAAAATTAACACTAACAGGATTAGCTCTACTGCATGAAGATCAATAAGGCAACGATGAAGTAAGTTCTAGAGAAGACAGCAGATTCGGAAGGGGGCGGGGCTGTCTTACATTTAAGTTGAGCCATCTGGATAAAACTGAACTTGTTAGAAAAAGCCCAACTGAATGGCAGATTCTCCTTTAGTTCATACTTTAACGCTTTCATATCAAATCACATAGCTTAGAAGGAAAGGAGGATGAAAGAAAAAGACAGCAACTGCAAATAGGCATATTGCTTTTCATGTGTATACCCGGGTCAAAAATAGAGGCTAGGGCATGGCTTTATGTATACAAGATCCTCCAGCATGACAATATTCTCTAAGTTACAGAATATTGTGCTCCAACTCCTCTCCACCTTTCTTTTTTAAATAGTCTAACATTAAAAGAGAACCAATATTTTGTATTAGGGCTGTTAATGATTAACATTTTTGTGTTCGATTAATCAAAATTTTTTTTAATCGATTAATTGATTCATTTCGATTAATTATAATGCACATACAGATCCAACTACATTGGCCTATACACATAAAGCACAGCAATGAAGTAATAAAATTAACTAGGATCACACTAATCCAGCACGTTATTAATCTCACGTGGGGCAACTCAGAATAATAACGTGCTGGATTAGTGTGATCCTAATTCATTGTATGACTTCATTGGTGTGCTGTATGTGTATAGGCCAATGCCTTGGCTGGCGCTCGTGCAGAGTTTTTAAAAAAAATTAATCGATCAAAAATATTTTAATCGATCAAAAAGATTAACGATTAATTGATAAATTAATTATTAATTTGCACAGCCCTATTTTGTATATGCATTGTTCAATTATCATAACAGGGTAGGGTTACTTTCTTTTTCTTTACCTACTGTATGTAAGAATAATTCTGATAGTTCTCATAGCTGCTGACCTGGGGTTGATTTACAGAAGGAGTAGAGCAATTTCACATTACGAAATGACAGCTAACTGAGTGAATAGAGCGAAGCTGGGATCCCTTCAGTCATGTACAAAGCAAACAGCTCATAGATGATTAACATTTCTTTTTAACAACAGAATACTGGTATGTGTATTCAGGGGCTGGGAGATGGACAGTATGGAGTTGGTTTACTAAAGGCAAATATTGTGTTCACTTTGCAAGTGAATTAACACTTTGCAGAGGAAGTTTCCCTTAGCTTAGTGAATGAGGTGAAGTTCTGCTGACTAGCATCAACCAATCATGTGCAAGCAAAAATACTGGGGTCTATTCACTAAGCTGTCGAAGGATCTAGCCGTAGCTTCGGCTGATCCTTCGGCTAGCTTCGGCCCCAGGACCCCTTCGGTTCAGTAGAACTGAAGGGCTGCTGTACGGGCTATGCACTATAGCCCTACAGCTCCCAAAGTCGGCCGAGCGGCTCAGTCGAGCCAAAGGCATATGCTTCGGCTCGGCTGAGCCAAGGTGAGAGCCGAAGCTGGCCGAGCTTCTGGCAGCTGGGCGGAGCCAGCCGTCATCTTACGGCTGGCTCCGGCCACTTGCAGAGAGATCAGCGTCCCTGGTTACTAGGTAACCAGGGACGCTGTCATTACACACTGAGAACCCGGCCGGGCCACTATGATATCACAGTGGCCTCTCTGTGTTCTCAGTGTGTAATGACAGATGGCTTTCCTGGTTACCTGGTAACCAGGAACGCCATCTGTCATCCCTCCCCCGGATGCTCTGGGAGTCTAATATGCTCCCGGCCGCCTGGGAAATAAACACTTTCTCTCAGAAAGATTCACTCTGCTCGATCGAGCAGAGTAAACCTTTCCCTGCTCGTTTTTTTTCCTTCTGACATCGGAGCCGATAGGAATGCATAGCTAGATTCCTATTGGCTATTTCAATTTGCAATAGCCAATAGCAAACTAGCTATTGCACCCGCCCACTGCTGCTGTCAATCAGCAGAGAGGCCGAACATGCTGAGCATGTTCGGCCGACTCGAAGCCACGCGAAGCAAGCCGATGTACGGCTGAAATCAGCCGGACCAGCCTGAAGTGAATAGCCGAACAGTGTTCGGCTCACTTCACTTCAGATCGGTCATTCACTCGGATGCCCTCGGCATCTTAGTGAATAGACCCCATATTCTTCATCCTGACTGTCCTTATTTTATGTTGAATGTATGCTTTTTGTTAATAAAGCAAAAACAAAAATATAAAGGTGGATGTGGATTATTCTTAACAGGTGACATCATAATCTAGAACAAATTCTGATGAGATCATGGAAAAAACATGTGACTTTTCTTTCAGATCCACTGCTACACAACTATCCTCTGACCTGACCGGATGCGGTAAAACCCCTATGGCTTTGCTATCCCTTGCCTTTCAGCTTCGTTCCCAGTTTCAGGGGGAATTTACAACTGATTGTTAAAATAATTTCACTGAGCTACCTGTTTGCTCAGGCAGAACTGTGAACAGAAATAAGGGTGACATTATTTACACAGCTGCCTTAGCTATTAATACTCCACCCGAATTGGACTCTTTAGTTATGTCACCTTTAAAGTGACAGTAAACCTAAATAATATATTATCACCAACAGCTTATTCAGATAAAGTGAAATGTTGTGTTGCCCTTTAGTTTTTCCCAACTGCTTTACTCTGTGAATAAAATACAATGTATTTTGTCAGTTGCTTTTTCTTCCTAATAAAGCGTGGCAACGTTATTCATAGCCATGTAAGGATTGTCACTCCAGCATGATGTGCCTATGTATGTCAAGCTCTATTCTGCTCATAGACAGCTGCCATGCCACAGGTACCCACACCGGCCAGGGTGGTCATAATGCTTGAGTGACAGTAGCTCCTTCAGGAAGCCTCGCTTATCAACAAAGGGCAGATTAGTCCAGCAGGGTCACCAGCATGCCTTGGCCACAGTCACTGCCTTGGCCTGCATAGAGCTGCATAGCAGTCACTTGACCACAAGAAAAATAGAATCTGACACTTTTTGTTATTGTTTTCTTCTAGCACTGCTCACCATTGCCATACGTTGTTGAAATTGCTGATGGGTATCCTCCCATCCCCTGCCCTGGTAAAGTCGGTGTCGCTACAGGAACCACTGGGGTAGCCAGTGACTGAGCAGATTGTGAGTTGTTTATCCTTTGATTCTATTGAGAGAGACGAGAAGAAAAAAAAGACAAGAATAACAAGATTATTAGTAAGTTTATCAGGTGCGGAACGTTTTTATTTTATTTTTCTCAAGAAAAAAAAACACTTCAACATGATACAAATTAATCATTTAGCATGTGGCTCCCATGAACTCTTCCAACCCTATCATTTACAATCTTTCAAGAGACCAAGTGTCGCCATGGCAACCCATTACATCAGCTTCTCCTAGGCAATTGAACTTGCCACGAGTAAAGGTTGCTTTATTGTGAGTTGAAAACAGACCATGTGGAAAATTGATGAAATATGCATACTGTACTATCATTGTTTCTTTATCATTCAAATGCAAAAATGTCATTAAAATTACCAGTGACTAGGCTTAGACTTAGTTAAAAAAAAGACACCTTTACAATGGCTTTTTGCTGCAGTTAACATGGTTAGCAGCAGATGGCAGTAAGGATCCTTTTTTTTTTTTTTTTATTAGCAAGTCTCGCTATTTCACATTATATAAGATGCAGGTTTATACATATTTTAGCAATTGGCCATTTAGCTCAAGGTATTAAATGTGTAGTGGCCAAGTGACAACACACCTATTACAAGATCTAGGCTGTTTCCAGTCTTGTATACTTATACACTAAGAACTTTTTTTTTTTATTGTTATGTTGCTTTTAAATATAATCTGGCAATGTGGAATTTTCCTTCACAGTAACAACACACAAAGTAGAAGAGTTAAAAACCTTCTTAAACACTCTTTGCCACTTACCAGAAGGAGATCGACATCCTCAGACTGAGAGCAGGGAAAAGGAGTATTAAGTAACAATTAGTATTGATACATTATTAATAAAGGTGAAATGATAGTTGAAATATAATGTTGCTTGTAGATTTTAAATGCACAGAGATTCTGCAGCACATCAAGCTTCTCTCTCTCACTGCATTCATTTAATGGGGTTGTCATTTATACAGAAAATATTACTAACCTCCCTCCCCTCCTGACTCTTCCTGGATACCAAAGTGTGACCCACTTAGGTCAGTTCTCTAATCCCGGTAGAGATCTAATTTCTTTAAGGGGCAAGAAATAAATCATTCTGATGACTTCTTGTTAGGTACAGCAAGAGAGTTATTGTGAACTGGCCAGGGTAATTTGTGTTTTATGTTATGTATAGACCAAAGGGTCTAAAAAATTATTATTCAAATCTTCCTGTCTTCTCTTTTTTTTCTCTCTCTCTCTTTAAACAGAGCTCCAGCTTAAATGAATTTTTTTATTTAAATTGACAAAATTGTTTAAAAATTAAAAAAGCATCAATGCTCACCTCCTGTCCATTGTTTGGAGTCCAGCATTGCTTATGTTCTGGGGTTGAATGACATTTACCCATTCCCTGTGAGCCCAGGCTGTCATGGACCTGCCCCAGTGTCAATTTTATTTCCCATTTAAGTTTTAAACTTTTGTAAACCAACTTTATTACCATTTTACAAAATCTTTAGTTTACAAATTAACATTTAATACAGGGTGCACCTATGACAGTGGTGTCACAGGCCATACAAAGCAGAGGATGATGAATAACATTGATTTATTTGGTTTTGTGTACATTTCTGCTTGAGCTTTTGAGTTCAGTTAACAATATTTTTTTTTCTGCAAAGCTGCTAAGAGTAGCTTGAGACAGCTGAAGAGGACAGCAGAGCTCCAGTCACTAGATGAAAATTTTAATATAAAATAAGGATTTTAAATATTTTATATTTACCTGGCTAAAAATGTAAAATGTTTTAAAACATTACTAAACAATATTTTTAATGAGTTGTACCCATTCTCTCTGTTTATTCTGGTGATCGCTGTCACTGCGACTGAATTGAGGAATCAACCAAGAACCAGAACAGAAACAGAGGGGAAATCAATGCGTACACTTATTCCCGTGACAACTGTCTAACTGTCTAAGAAAGGACTTCCCTCACTTTGGAGAGATCTTCTCTTACTCCCTGTTGTGACTACAGGACAGGAAGTGAAGGGAAATCGCCCCAAAAAGGACAAAGAGAGCAAAAAAAAAACCCCACTGACAGATGTTTTATCCATTCCTTACTCTATCCAATTTAAAAATGCTTCTTGAGATAAAGCTTAACCTTACTGAAGAACACATAACTTAACCTCTTTTAGCCTTAAAATGTCAAATAATGTAAATGATATACAGACAGATCAGTGTTAATATAAGTATTTGTAGATGTTGTCATTTGTTATTTTATTTAAGGTTATATTGTGTTTTAGGTTTAATATCAGAGTCAATATAGAGCATTTTCTGGGGAATTAACAGCATTATCCACAAATACTTTTGAATGACTGTGTGTGTGTGTGTGTAAAGAATAAACTCTTCAACTGCCAACAAGAATTGTATTCTGCCATATTCAGAGCAGAAGATCTATGATTTGGCATAGCCCAGTGTCTCACACATACAGTATGATTTTCCTACAACACATGGCACTCATTATGGGTGAAAACAACACAAAGTTTCAAGTTACATCCACAGCTAACCCTAATTATTAATCTTTCAGATCAGTTGTTCTAGTGAGACACCCACATAACATTATACAGCTTTCTATAGATATACTAGGTGGTATAAACAAAAATAGCAACATAGTAATAATCAAACAATGAATTAAGAGCAATAATTTACCACAGAGGGCATTGTATTCTTGCTGCCAGGTGGAATAAGAACTCTGAGGTCAGGTTTACGATTGTTCATCCCCAAGTTCATTGGCGGTGGTGACTTTGTTTGCATATTTTTATTCAAGTTACCAGGTGAGACCAGCAGACCTGGCGAATTACGATGATTGCCATACCCATTTCCTGTTACAGGAGAAAAAGAAAATTAGAAAAAAATTTGGTCTCACGTTAAAATTCTATTGCATGGTCAGTGGACAACTGGATTTATCCCCATTTTTGTAGGCTCACTTAGCAGGCAATATAGTGCTAAAATTGGATAAGCTTATATGAAACAGCAGCTGCGTAAGATGGACATTTTTTATCTAAGCAAATTGTAAAGTTGACCAAATATTACCTCCTATTTGTTTTGCCCAAACATGTTGAATGTGAGATGTTTTCACTTTGCACCATTTGACCTACACTTGTACAGCCAGATTGTAAAATGTGTCGCTAGCGTAAGAATGTTGTCATACAACCTACATTTAATTTGAACTCTACTAAAATATCATTCGGTGGATATAACCATTCCACACTCTGTTACTGAAATTTTAGCTTTTAAAGTAGCAGGTGACATTGAGACAAATTATGTCAGAACTCTTCACCTTTTATAAGATCTTGTAATCAGCCAATATTAATTGAAAAAACAAATAGATAAGATAAGAGGAAAATAAAGAAAACATGAATGTCCTAGTTGTATAATTAGTGTATGCCTTCTTTAACGAATACTAAGCAGCTAATTAAAAATGGTTGTTTGTGATCTTTAAAGCCACTCTTCAAGCTGAAGCAGAGGTATGAGATTGGTAGGGGCCCCATTATTGGTGTCAGTACACAAATACATAAAGAGGAAAAAATGCCTGTCCCATTTTTTGTATAAAGGCTGATAACCCTACAAACCATAGGCAGTCTGTGGAGGTGGCGTTAGGTGGAGTGAACACATAAACACATGTTGATGTGAGAATATGATAATACTCACAAACTGAAGAAAAAAGGTAGTGCATACATAGATAGATGTACATGTAGATGCACACAGTTATGTACATACATATTTCCTCTTTAACAACATTGTGTTTTGCCCTTTGGCGATTCCTAGAAATGTTTTTGACACAGAAAGTAAAAAGAGAGGTGCTAAAAGATTTTCACGTGTCTCATTATCTCCAGACATTTTACTTCTGCAAGTCTCCTAATTTCCAGAACACATCTTTTCTCATCTCTCCTTTCTTGTATCCCTACAGTGCTAAATCAACACTTGATGAGAGATTGCTTCCTATTAGTTACCAGCTCCGCTGCTCTTTGATATGTCAACTTATTGAAACATATGTCTTGCTAATTGCATTTGCATGCTTGTGTTTGCTTTTACTCGCTTGAGATCGAGAGACTAAGATAAGACATATTTACTGCCAGGACGCCAGTGATTTTTACAATTTAAGACAATCAAGCAGACTTTGTCTAACAAGAAAATGACTTTGTAAGGGGCATGTTTTGTACTACAGGTGGTTCGAACAAGTGGAAAAGATTTACTAGAAATGAGAAATGGTTACCAGTTGTTTTTATGTCTTTTAATGTTCTGCTCTGTAAAAGGAAAACCTATGCATTATTGTAATGTTTTTTTTCTCATTTGGTCACGAAGGGTAATCTCTAAATGTGTACCAGTTCCTTTCAGATTGTTTCAAGCAATGCTTTGTAGACCTATATTTAAATGTTATAGTTTCCAGCCCACAAATAAACATCCTTAGAATAGTAGGACTTGAAGAATGTCAGATCACTGCCCTCTTTCATTGACACAAGAGCCCACCCTTAGACAAATACAAGCATGAGGCTCTCAGTAACAATATAATTCTGCCTTAAAAACCAATAGCTGGGAGCAATGGATTATATTGTGGTATACTGTAAAACGTGTACTGCATAGAATTATGTTAATTGAAAAATAAAGGTGCATACTGTTGAAGCTAAACATGCACCTAAAAAGCATGGTCTGCATTTTGAATCTGACTCCCCTCCCCCTTGATGAAATGTAAAAGTTCAAAAAAAAACACCTGCAGGAAAAAAAAATTTGATAATATACTTACATTTCCCTGGTTTCCACTTGCAGTGCCCAGCTAAGACTGACATCATCATCCTCCTGGTGGGAACTGGGAAATATTGAGTAGCGGAAATATGAAGAAAATGCTTCCAACACTGTTGCAGCATCTTCTTGCGAAATGTGGAGTACTCAGCATTTACCAGGATCTCATCTACAGGATGATGATGTCACCCATGCACTACATTTTTTTAAGCATTTACTTGGTGTTATAGTAAGGAGGGATACATTAAAAAGTGGACCTTGCATGAATTTCGGGGTCCTCTGTAATATCCATGGTTCCACTTATCACAGGAAAAAAGTGCGTATGTTCAACCAAACACTTCTGATTGCTGCAAGAAATTTTTAGGTATAGCTGACAAGCTCCACAGATGGTTAAACACTGTCCCTCAGTCCCTACCGAATATAGGATGATGCATTTACTATATGTACACCAAGAGATAGAGTTACCTAATTAAGTAACATTGTTGCGATGAGTTTGCCAACTGCACAAAAAGTGGACAGCTCTTTGATCACTTGTCAAAATTAACAGATGTCCAAATATTTGGCCAGCTCACTTGTTTCCATTTACACATATTACCATTTAGATAAGCTCCTCCGCCCTCCCCCACCCCAACAGCCTAACTGTCTAATGTCCCTGCCACAGGCACATTTATATACAAACACTAGGACTAAATTGTGTGCAAGTCTATTAACCTATCATTGTGGTTTTGGTAGTGAACCAGAGCAGCCAAGAGAAACCCACAGAGGAAGGACATACAAATTCCATTCGTGTGCCTAATGGAAATTCAAGCCAGTATCCAAGCAGTATAAGGCAAGAGCACTAACCAATGAAATGCTGTGCTCCAGTCCTATGTTCTACAAGATCCATTTTATGCACTGTGAATGAATCTCAGAGCCAACTAAGTTTAATTGGCAAATGAGCTGTACAGTAAAAACACTCCTAGCAAAAACTAGAAGTTGATGGTTAGACCCAACAGAAGGTTATTGAACATTAGGAGATACATCATAAATAGACAGGAATACATGTATCACATCAATTATTATCTATCTTTATATTTGGTCAATATGTATAGGTCTATATTTAGTAAGCATAAAAATTACAGGTCATCCTTTTATATTTCAGAAGGCAAGCAGTTGACCTAAGCAGGGTCAGTATGAATAAATGAGTAGGTTGAAGTTCTTTTTTGTGGACTATCCCTTTAAACTCTTTCTTTAACAGAACACATTACATGTTATACAGTGTTGCAGAAAATGTTTCATATTTCTATAATTTTGTTCTTGGTTTACTAAATGTGTGTTCATATTGTTTCACATATGCACACAACTATGAATTTCATTCAGGCTGCAGCCAAAAGTATAATACACTTTTTGCATTCCATCTGTTTTCCATTTTCGCATACTGTATAGTCAGGAAATCCATTCATTTATGACATATAATTTTTGCACTTTAAAGTGGGTAGAGGAATGTGACACAGCGCATAGAGCCCCATTTAATTTGATCATTTTCCAGACGGAATGTAATTGTAAAGTATAGGTTAAGAGCAGGTTTAAACCATAAATTTGAGTTTTTACTATTTCATGTTTTCTTTTTTATACTCTTTCAGACACAAAAGGAATCATTCTCTTTAACCCATCAGAAAAGTTACGCCCATATGATGTATTCGTTTATCCCACAATTGACTATGCATAGCTGGATTATTTCAAAGAAAACCATCACTGAGAAAGTATGGAAGCTGTTAATGCTGACCTCACCTTTGGAAAATACCAGTTTTCTGGCTGTGATGCTGATCCAGTGATTTCAGTACTTTAGCAGCAAGATTAGGAGTGTTAGCCTTCCTGATCTGCATGCATGGTCTAAGCATGTGTTTCAGACAGACAGAGACAGCTGTGAACTTAGAGGATGAATTGTTCTACAAGGGATCTGTAAGGGCTTGTTTTCAAGCTTATCTACTACTTGTTAAAAAATATGCAAATACTTGGATGCTCATACCCTGAACATAGGCTCACTTTAAGCTCAAACATATTGCTGTAATTTAATACATGTACATGTTCTGTAGGAGAGCACACAATGTCTTTCTTATATTGGTAAGAATGGTGGATATTCATTTTATTGTTTAAGCACTGAGAAATGTGTTAAGGTAATTGGTGAGGCATGGATACCTTATTTTGAGTTAAGTAGGTATTGCATGCACTTCTTATTGAATTTCATTCCTTCTAGGACAACAGATATTTATCTCATTACACTGAATCCCATAGATGCTTACGTCCCTATATAATGTAGGTAGCAACATGGATGTCTGCAGAGCTGCTCATAAATACATTGCATTGAAGAGTAAAATGCAGTAGAACACTTCCAAATGACTATCAGTACTTATCTTCAGAACTGTGATACATCAGAAGCCTAATATTTACAATAATGAGTAATTATAGACTTTTCTGGGAAAACTGGGACAGGCTGGTGCCCTAAAGGTTTCATAGTGTACTACTCAAAGAAAACAGAGGTAACCACATTCCAGAAAACTGGTGAAGTTAAAATAGTTGTCCTTGGCGCTGATCTTCTTCTGATGAAAGATGTAAACAAAAAAAATAAGTTTTTTCCTCTTGACACAATCTAATCTGTCCTTGAATGTTCAACTACAATATCATGTAAACACACTCAAAATAAAGTGGAAGGAAAGAACACAGAAAAAAGTCACACTATCATATGAAGAATCCATAATGACGAGTCACAAACATAAAGACAATTTAATTTGTTATTACAAAAGCAGAAATTCATCAAAGACGTCTGGTTATAGTTTTTGGAATAATTTCTATCATAGGATGGGAAAGATGTTATTTATAACAAACACTGAACATAGCTGAAATGTATCTGGTGATTAGTTTTGTATGAACAAAAAGGTAAAACAGGTAAACAGCCTATTTTAAAGAAACAACCATTCAGATCATTAATTTGTGATCACTAACAACTTCAACTCATTCTTCTAGCCATCTGTTCTGGCCTTAATCAGCAAAGCCACAACCCACATATTCAAACTTGTACCCTAAATGCAGAATGGGGCCCAGG